AATCTCAAAACCATTATGGGATGCTCTGCTTTTCTCATCCCCGCCCTAAAATCTTCTACCTCCGCACGCACTCCGCGAGGTCACAGCCTCTTCAACGAGTAAGACTTGCGGATCGCCGCGACCTCGACATGCCCGATTTTCACATTTTCCATATTGATATCCGCATTCCAACTATTTTAAACTCTCGAATTAAACTCGCCATCCTTTTACTAGGCAGAGTCACGCGAACATTGGTTTGCGCGAGAAATCGAGGTTTGACCGTGTAATTTCTCGACACCTACGTCCCCCGGCAACGGAGATGTTGGTTAAGTAATGAAATGCGATTGAAGAAGTGAAAGAAAAGAGTGTGTTACAAATTCTCTCTTATGTTACCTAGATGCCTTACCACTCAAGTCAAACTATATTTTCCCCCAACATTCGTTGCCGAGAACTCCGCCTACTCGTCTTCGGTGAAATACCACACAGCGGTTTATTTTCTTGGACAACCCTGGAGCCGACCACGCTTCAGAGACTGCACGCGATCTGGTGGGGAGTGCGGAAACCATTGCATTCCAGTGCTCAGTGGAAGTGAGCCGCTGGCGGGCCGCGCACACGACGCAAAGCTACGCGGAGCGCGGTTGAGAGGCACGCTGCCGCGGCGCGGCGTGGAGAGAGCTGTTATTCGACTGTGTGGGATGCTGGAAACTGGTCCACCCACATCGCCAGCATTGCATACAGGTTTCAGTTTCAAGTTGTTTAGTCCGTGCCTCTAGTTGGCTGATGCCCCAACGCATAAATCTCGACCACAAACAGGATATTATGCTCTCACACCTTAGCTCTGCAGGTTTCCAAATTAGTTTCATTTTCCTTTTCGCCCTTCAAACAATTCCAAAGGTCTCCTGAAATGATAGTTTTACCTTGGCGTCATTTTGCATTGCAAGAAAATACTTTACACGGAGCTCAAACAATATTCGCAATAATACGTACTGAGTGGTGAATAGTTCTGAAGATCAATGTTGCACACCCAACGCCTCCACACAAAATGAAATATCTCGTTATGACCCACAACATGGACTTTTCAATTTACGAGATATCTTCATAATTAATATAAAACATCGAAGTATTTGAATCCCAAATTTTATTTTGTAATCATTTATACATCAGAATGTATATGCAATATCATATTATGTAAGCAAATTATGGTTGCCGCTAAAAGTATATTGATGAGATGGGATTTTGCCGACAAAATCCCATCTCATCAATATACTTTTTCCTAGTATGGCACTTCCAGTGCATCACTGTAACTATGAATATTAAAAATGCAATACTGACTATAGAATGCAGACATTTCAGGATGTATTTTTATTTCAAAATAGTTAATAACTGTAGGCCTTATAAAGAGGCGTATCTACAGTATGGCAGACATGGCACCACCCACGGGGGCATTATTTAGAACGTACAGGATAAAGCAAATAACAACCCTAATTTGAAATATCCTGAGAGGGGCACACACTCTATGCTTGCCATGGGCACTGGTATACCTAGACATGTCTCTGAGTATAGAGGTTTATTACTATTGAAGCAATTCACTTTGGCTCTCAACTGGCAATATTTTTTTTGGTAATGTTAGTGGTAACATCAGTCTCAGCCTCTTACGGATTTATTGTAACTATTAATACAAATTGTAAATCTTTATAATTGGTTTTAAATCTTTAAGGTCTGGCAGTAAATCTTTAATCCTTTGTAACTGTTTTACGAGATCATAATAATGAAGTACAATTTACCAAACAAATTAAATTACACTAATTACAGACAAAAATATGATTATAATACATTGAACATTTTTCTCAACATTTCTTAGAATTAGAAAATCAGTGGGTTGCAGCAATGGTTGGGCACCTTATTACTAACCTGAAGGACCCTGCACAGCTGGTTTTTTATCCGGTCATGTCCAATTCAGGGTGGCCCTAAGGTACTTTCAGCTTCCTTTCTAAATGAGTACTGTAATTTATTGACTTTATTAACAGTAAATTTTGGATAAAAATCACTACACATCTCCCAACTTCTGAAGTCACACTAAGGTCCCTTAGGTACAACCAGTGGCACATGGAGTGTGTGGCACATGGAGTGTGTGGCACATGGAGTGTGTGGCACATGGAGTGAAGGGGTTTCAGTTCCCTCAAAAGCCAATGCTACATATTAAAAAATGTAGCTTTTAATAATTTTCTATAGTAATGAAAGTCATTCAATATATGCATACATGAATAATTCTTTATAAGAAACACCAAGTCGGTTACACATGTGGCTCTCCCCAGAAAAAAAAGAAAGAAAGAAAAAAAAGGGATACAATTGTACAGAGGGCTATGCATGTGGGTACTTGGCAAAAAAAGAAGAATATTCCTCACATTGTTCTCATCCAAAGCAGGTGCATTTTATAATACTAAATGCTAAGGGTGAAAAAAAGTACTTCAAAACCAATCCTAAACACTAGTCGTGCATAAATATAACACGTAATGTTCACAGAGTAAATTATATGCTATGTATATGTCATTGGTACACAAGTGAAACACACAAAGTCCACAAACAATGTTTTGAGATAAATCAGGTTGAAATTGATTCTGTAAAATTTGTCTGCCTCCAAATCCTTTGCTAAACAGGAGATAAAATCTGTTTTATTTACACACACAATGTGTAGTATTGATTTTAAGCGAAAAGAAATCATGTCCAAAGGTGGATTTTCCTATACTTATGGGGTAAGATAACAAGCAGGGTTGTTTCCTTAGCAACAATATATTTTTCATAAGCCACAATGGATTTCTCTATTGAAAAACTCTATTACTCTATATGAAGGCAATGACTTCCTGTTCAGGATCATCAAAGTCAATGAGATCTGGATATGAAAACATCTCAGCTCATCCACCAGGAAAAAATTCAGTGCTGCAGCCAGCAAGGAAAATTTGTTGAGACTGCTCCGGATTGCAGAAGGGTCAGTTTGTTTGCTTGATTTCCTCACAGCACAGTCTGTTAATGTGGCATGCCATTGCCACACAGTTGGCTAATTGCAGTCTGCCGTTCGACACATGAGACCAAAGCTATTGAGTAGAGGGGATTTGTTCTTGGGTGACAATGCAAGATCCTACACAGCACAAGACCCGCACACTTGAGATGGGAAAGATTGAATTACCCAACCAGACTTCCAGATTTTATCCTGTGTTGAAGAAAGCACTATCAGAATACTATCATCATCATCATCATCATCATCATAAACTGCAGGTTGCTAGACTGGTCACCTGTTTCAATTTCCTAGTAGACCAGGAGGCTTACACCTCCAGGTGTTCCTGATCTAGCCATTTCTTTTGTGGCCTTCCCACTTCCCCTCGCTCTATTGGTTCATACTTCAATCCAAATTCTGCTTTTGGTAATCTTTCTGGTAATAAGAGAGAGCAATTTTCTCCATTCATTCTTTATTTTTTCTACTATACTTTTTTTTGTCTTAGCCTGTTTACGATGTCTTTACTCCTTTCCCTATCCTTTAGTGTCACTCATGCTAGATGATGGAGGAATCTAATTTGCGTTGTCCCACATCTTTGTTTCCCACTACTTTTCATTGTAGACTTCTAAACCATACATGAGAATTGGTGTAGATATCATATTGTGGATTCTTTGGTTGGTATCTTTAGTCATATCCTTTCTGAAGTGTCTTTTGATTAATCCGTTCTTCCTGTTTTATTTCTAAAGCTTGTTTTTCATGTCTTCCGATCTCTGTCCACTGAGGTTGCCCAAGTAATAGAACAAGTATTTAAATTTCATTATATGCTCATTTATGACAATTTTTACTCTTCTCATTACTTTTCCTTAATATGTCATTGTTTTATCTTGTTTGTGGAAATTTCCACATTATGTTTCTGTTATATTGTATACAGTTCATGAGCTGCAATTTTCAAGTCATCTGATTCCATTATTGAAACTATATAATCTGCATACAGGATTGTTTGGATCTTCTATCTTTTACTGATATTTATTCCTTTTCTTATAGTTTGTTTCCATTCCTTGATTATATGGTTGGCATTGGACAGGCCTCATCCCCATTTAATCCTCTGTTTGTTGTGAAAGATTTTGACACATTCCTAGTGTTCATTTTTCAGGATACTACACACATACAGGATGCCCAGAAGCTCCAATATGAATTTTATGTTATGACACTCATTTTAGAATATCTTATAATTGTTATTATTTACAGAACTCCAATGAAGTCTTTTAACAATGCTTACCCCTTAATGCACCAGCTACTAATTGGTTGGTACCAGTAATTCAACCACAATTTAAAAATTTAAAGTGATTGTTGTGAAAATTCATTTTTCAAGTTGTGCCAATATTGCAGCCTGCAAATGATTTTAACGCTGTTAACATAAATTACGTCATATTAAGGAAAAATCTACAGGGGAGTATCATTTATCCTATGTGACTCTCTATAGCACAAGACACAGACACAGCATTTACATCAGTTCACACTGAAGAAATGCAAAAAATAATTCAAGCATTCTAGGAATTTTTTTAATTTCCATAAAGCTGTGTTTGTATTATGCCGCTGAAAACCGTGGTTACAACAAACAGCAAAAATGAATTTTAGTAGATTTAATAGATTAAATGAATAGTACACATAAAACACATGGTGCTGTTAAAATACCTCAATGTCTAGGAAGCAATTTACCTCACTTAACAGTTTCACTGAAAACACACAGAAATAACAATACGCCTATCCCTGTTGGCAGATACTGCACAAGTATCTGCTGTATTGCACCAGGTTAGAATTTCACGCCAGAAGAAACTTTCAACTCAACTTTATGAAACACAAAACTTTTTTCACAAAAACCGGACCTGCATGAACCTTCATGAATGTCAACACAGAATCCAAGGTATTTTTTTGTAATGGGAGCTTCTGAACACTCTGTATACAGTCAAACCTACAATTTCTTATTCTTATAATTATACTAATGAAAAATTCAAAGAAAACCCCCACTGAACTACTTTTAAAACTGAAAGGACAATTTAATCATTAAATCATAAAAATATTCAATTAGTTTAGTATTTATATCAATGGCATTTCTTTCCATACACAGTAAATGAATCTGAATAATAGTGTCGCAATCCCACCTGTCGATATATATCTGCATATGGAATCTATTTGGCATCCATATGCAGACTTGCTTCTCCTGGATTGTATTTTCATGTAGAACCAACACGAGTCTGGATGGCTCTCCTGGAAACAAAGTAAAATATTAATATGAATTAATCTTCTTTTATTTTAAAGCAAAAAGAGGACCATGAATACCATCAAGCAATTTCTACTGTTTCCACAGTGACTGCTGTCTCAGGTTGTTGCTGAAATATAATTTCGAAGTTACTGTTTTGAAACATTTAAAAAATTATAATGTGCAGAAATTCTGAGAAACTACTATTTGAGAAAGTAAGTGAAATTTATGTGTAAGAAAAAACTGAAAATGTAAAAGAATCCACGTAAAAAAAAAAATAAATTAGAAAATGGCCACTCATAAATGAAGTGCACAAGGTATGTTTTCTACATTTGTAGACATTATACATGAAACGTCTGTTGCACCGAAATATAAATTTGGCGTACAACTGCTGCCACTAGACGTGATGTCACTCATATTAAAACTGTTGTGAATGCATGTAGGGGAAGCTTTTATGTTGAGGAACTCAGTGGCTAGAAGGTGGTAGTATGAAAGGAATGTAATTGCAACTGTGCAACTGTGTACACCATTATTACAATTTAAGTGTTTAATAAGTATAACTGCTTGTACTATCACAAAATATGATATGAGGGAGCCAAAGGAAACTCGAAAGAAAATAGATTAGAGAGAGGGGGGGATGGAGAAAGGGAGAGGGAGAGCAGAGATGCATCAGCAATGATTGCTTACCATGGTTTCCAACCCCCTACTGCATAGTGGTGCTATTGTTGAAGTTAATAGCACTTCAGTAGTGCTGCAACAAGCTGCAGCGGTGGTGCTTCAGCATGATTTGGGCATTCTGTTGATTTGGGTGCTCCGTTTATATATAGTCAGGATAATTGTCCAAATCATTAAAAAAATCAATCTTTAAAAAGGAAACTTCCAGAGTGGTGTCAGCAGGTTTTCCAGGGTATAGTGAAAGTTTTCGTGCACAGACACTCAGGCTACATGGCGATGAAATATATGTGGAATTTTGTCATTTTAATTATGGCACGTTGCACTTCAAACTTGCAGGTGAATATCAGTGGCACTTTCACTATTTCAGACAAATAGACTAATTTAGATATTCTCCAACTTTCTAAATTTTCAATTTATTTTCTAATTAACGTATTGTATTTGCATGTCAAGAAACTTACATCTGACAAGAATTAAAGATATTTTTAGGATAGAAACTATTGACAACTCTATACACCGATTAAAAATTCATATTTATTGAATATAATTTAATTAAAGAAACTGTAATTACATATTCAAATACCACTTATTATCAATTTACATTGCCATATCCAGCATGGCGTTGAGCGATGTAGGTCTCCAGACTGTTCCGTTTTCACTTATAAATACCACATTTCTGTCAATATAAACTTGAATTTTACCACATCTATAAACCTGTTTACCTTCACAATATCTGTTTGCAATTGGAACAAAAACAATACCCCTTTCTTCACAGTGCTTTTGAACAAGCTCTTTGAATCCCTGAGGTACTTGATTTGCAATCCGAACAGCTTCTGCTAATGACTGGAAAAAGATAAACTAATATAAGAAAGTGAAAACAAATAGATAAAAGCTTTTTAATTGTTAATGCAACTTGAAAGTTAGAACTAACAGATCAACAAAATCTTCTACTACATATTTACACTGAGTCTAAAAATAGAAGAATTTTTCATTGAAACCACTGAGTATTACGAAAATGATTTTATTTTGAATGTAAAACCATGTGCATAAGGATTTACATTCAGCTCCTCATTAATTTGTTAAAACTTGTTATCATTCACCATAAAACATGTCATAGTGATTAAACTTTGGGCAACTTCACTAACTTCCAGTCTTCTTTCAATAAGGTATGTAGTGTAACATACACACTTTGGTGTTGTAACAATTCAACTCTCCAATGTTTTTGCATGCTATAATTCACTTCCAGTGTTGGTGTTATGAAGTTCTGATGAAGACTAGCCTAGGTGTAATTGCCCTTCAGCCTAGTACTTGCAACACAATCCCTTTTATTTTCATAATTTTTTTAAAAACTTTTATTCCTTCAACACTGTCTTCCTTAATAAGTGTAAGTACACAGAACATACCATTTTCCATACACTCTTTCCCATTATCTCATTTACACACCAAAAGCTTAGCGATTATTTCTGATGTGAAAAGCTCATACAAGTCCTAGATAAAGTTCAATCAACTTGCCTATCATATCTCTTTATATCGTTTATCTGACTACAGAAAATGAGTCTCTAAATTAAATAATATGATACATTGCAGTTATAATATTGGAACTTATATTATTCATTTGACAAACATGAAATATTTAATTGCAGAACTATAGTCGTCACATCTCATTTGCCTGGATGGAAATTTAAAAAAAAAATCATGTTTATGAACAAGCTTTAGAAATATTACATAAGCTCTTACCTCATATCGAGATTCTCGGTCACGTGATGACTGAGGTGACTGTGTGACCTGTTCCAAATTTGTAAGATAGGAAACCGTTTCCATAGCACCTGGTGGTTGACTAATCATTTGTCCAGGTTGAAGTACTGCTCGATTCATTATATCAAGGGCCTTTCGAAATTGCTCTGAAACAACAAATATTTTCAATAAATAGATAAAATAATAAACACAATACAGTAAAAAAAAAGGTTTCACTTAAATTTTCACGTTTCATGTGAGCCATTTCCTATTAAAAACACCTTTACATATAAAATTACGCAAAAAATTTAACATGATTTCTTTTGAAGAACTATTTTTGATGAACAAATTTCCTTAAGAAAAAAATATAGTTCTAGGATAACGCCAAAAACTTTTGAATTTTTGCAATTTTCGAAAAATTAGGGTTTTCTATGAAAAAGACCTGCACTATTCTCTTAAACGTCCCTCACTTTACCCAACAACAAAATTTAATCGAATACGATGAAGCCATTTTTTAACAAAATTTTAAAATGTCCCAGGGGCTATATGTAAAGTACTCCCCGAAAATTTAAATATCCATTATATTTTCGAGGGGCCACGACATCAGCCAGAACAATTGGGGAATATCAATTTCAGAGAAAATCAACTGAACGGTTAAACCATTACCTTTGTTGGCGGACAGACAGATGGCCGTTTTTGCTGTCATTCACTTTTTCGGTATCAAGGACCTACAAGACATGGATCGTGGCTACACAATGTGTTACAGAATTCCCCCTCCCTAAATTTAGCTACTGGATTTATTCCTTTATTCTTACCAGGGCCCGGCAATAAGAGTTTTTCTGCTGAAAATTCACCGCTTTGTCCCGCACCATTACATAGCGTTCTTTTCTTAAGAAGTAACTTCTTAAGGACCGAGAAAATAACTAAAATAAATATTTTATCATGCATAAAATGAACAGTTATGTTTACAAATGGCTAACTCTTCAAAAACAATCTCACAAGTCCCATCCCATCTTTAAGCATTAAATTGACTTTGATTTGTTAATGTTTCCTGCTTTTGGCCCATTGCTCCTGCCTTTGCCCATTGCCAGTCATTAAGAAATCTGTGAAGAGCTTTCCAAATCGCAGTTATTCAGTTTCAGAACAAGGTCCATATCAGATTTATGGAGTGTGGAAAAGTTTATAAACATATTTGACCATAATAACTTGCCATGATGGCACCTGGCATATTTCAGAAGAGTAGTGTGTCTATAGCTTACAGAATAAACCTCATGATCAGGTTTACGATTCATATGGTATACTGAACTTAAATATATACATAATGACTAAAAATGTTGAAACTAAGGACTAACAACTCCAAAAAATATTGACAATAATATATTAAATAATAAGTTTCAGTTGCATAAATAAACAAAAAAATTAGTTTTAATATTAGCTGTAAAAAGCCGTATTTTTGCCAGGGTATAAGACGCATCCCTGGTTTCAAAAAGGATTTCATTCTTTAACATTAAATTTGTATTTCATGAAAGAAATATGAATTTTATTTTCATAATGAATTCATTAGGACTCATAGAAAGCAGACAAAAACATGTCCTCTGATACCAAATTCGATATTCTAGGAAATTTTAATGAAATTACATTACTTTTTCCTTTTTGTTTTAGGACAATGCCGTTTAGTACAGAAATTCATTTTATGATGTGACGAAATGAAATGACCCACTTTTATGTCTTTCTTTGGCATTTTTCATCAATTTCCACTAATAAGTAATTTTTTATCTTTTTACGTGATTTTTAGTACATTTTTTGCTGATTTCATTGACTTTAATATCATTATAATGGTAAGCGCTTCAAACACAATTTATGAAGTGCAACAAATGTTTATCACAGAATCCCTGAGTAGCATATTCGATTTCTTTGCTCATATATTGTAATGTCAGCTGCTATGAGAACTATGTAATCTAAGGTTCCAATTAACACCATCGTCAGTTCAGTCAATTTTCGACCTAAATGAAGGCAGAGATTTTCATTTAAAGAACAGTCCAAACCAAAACTTTGCAAGCTGAGTTCACTTGAACAAAACGAAGAAGCCTCAATTATATCCGTAACATACCCAAAAGCTTAAGTCGTCTATCTGAAGTGGTTTTGATAAAATTTTTAAATTTTTTTTCCTAGGACATTTTGAAAGCATTTTATTGATCATTTTTAGCACTGTTGTAGGTCATAAAAATTAGCCCCCTATTTATGACAGTTACAGTGTACAATACATAAATTTGAATGATATACTAAATATTAAATCAGTTACAAAAATTCCCATCTGTTGTAAAAGACCCTTTTTAGAAGAGTTACAGAAGTCAAAAAAAAAAAAAAAACGTTTTCTACTCTGCCAAATACGATAAATTATGTACAGTACTTAAAAATTGACTTAACAATATTGTGGTGCTGAATGCAAGTCCTCCCTTAATTTTTTTCTGATAACTGGTCTCTTACAAAGCACTGTTTCAACCTTGTGAAACTGCTCTTTTCATCTCTTATTGCTTTTGTCTATTTCTAAACCCGATACACCATTTTAAATTGCACTAAAAGTTGAAAATAATCTTCCAGGATTGATTTTGAAAGACATAAAATAAAAAATATTGCAAATAATGTGTTGAAATATGCAAGGATAAGAAGTTATCTGTGTATGTAAAATGTTATGTACTATATCTAGGCCTCTAGGATGGCTCATGGGCAGTGTACTTCTTTCCTGTGATGTGGTCATGGGTTCAATTCCCAGTCAAGGTAAAAATTGAGTTGCAGTCAGAGTTAGCTGGTAAAGGGAATATGTCAAGTTCCCTTACTTGTGTACTCAATTAACTCAACTTTGTGAGGAAAAGTAACAGTTATTCGTGACTTAGGGGTTATTTTTGATTCAAAGATATCCTTTGTGCATCACATTGATTATATGATTAACAATAACAAAGCTAACCAACTACCGTACTTGGGTTTATAAGGAGAACGTGTAACGAATTCAATAACATTCACACATTGAAAAATTTACATATAATGTTAGTTCAACCCATTCTTATGTATTTATCAATAGTTTGGTTTCCATTTTTTTCATATTTATACCCACAAATTAGAAAGAGTCACACTAAAATATTTTTTTAAAATTGAAACAACTTGCCTTAATTTACCAAATCCATTTATTGATGAGTAATGCGCAATATCAATTTCCTAAAATATCCCTTCACTTTCCTCTTTGAGGGAATATAATGAAGTACTGCACAAATTAATTAATAACAAAATTAACAGCCCACATTTGTTGAAACAATTGAGTTTTCGAGTTCCCACAGCAACAAGAAGAAAAGATACATTTTCGCTACCTTTATATACTTCTATTAACACTCTTAACAATCCACTTACTTGAATGTGTAAATTAGCAAATGAAAACCATTTCAATATATAGGAACTGATTACCTTCAAATTTGTCAGCGAAGCAAAGAGCAAATTGCTAGTCTTTAATTAAATTTGTATTCTAATTTTTGTTTGAATGCTTATCTTCTATTCGGGTGTGTATGATTATTTTTCAGATGTGTACATTCAAGTATTAAATTCTATCCAGGTTTATATATTCTATTCTTTAATTTAAAAAAAGCAAAACAACAACAAAAAAGTATCAACCAACACTGACATAGTAGACATGAGTCTCAATAAGTTCAATAAGATCTTAAAATATACTGCATTATCATATACATAATATTCTTAGGTGCAATTGCATTTTTGCTGCAACTTGTTCCTTTTTAATGATTTTAATCAGTTTTATTTCTGATCATAATATTGTGTGTATAGTAGTGAGAACAAGCAACACTATTTTATTAATATAACATCAAAACACAGTTAAAATCTGTTAGATGTACTATAGGGAGAAGTGTGTGCAAATGACACTCACCTTTTATTCCAGGTTGAGCAAGAAGAGCTTCTGAGAACATGCCTTTCCAACCCATATACCAAGTACAAATGGCATCGTAATTGGGATTAGAATTTAGCCACATTGTAAGTACTTGCAGCCAATTTGGGAAGAAGAATCTTTCAAGTAGCCCAGCTAACGAGAACACTGGTAATAATCCTTCCCAATCCATTACCCAATTCCAATGATCTGTACAAAAACCTCAAATAATTATTAAATGACATGTTAGATGACATGCAAACCAAATTGTGCAAATCTCAATCGAAATCAAATAGGTGTTAAGTGCTCCGAAAACATACGAAATATATTGAACAACTATTCTCAACTAATACACATAGCAAGGTAACAAAATTAATAAATGATAATATTCAGTAAATCAAAGCCTGTCAGATATGAGTGCATACAAGATACAAAAGATTGATAAATACTCCATTCCCTCATATGGAAAAATATACTTTTATGAATCTAGTTCAAATAATAGAATATGATTCCAATTTTTATTGACCATGATGCTTCAAAAAATCTTTGGCATGTTCCAGAGTTTCAAAGACTATTATAAACCATTTATGTCATGCTCTCATTTACCTAAATGTTGTTCATGAGGATTGATGACAAATTCTTGCAAACACAATTGCAATTTAGGCAAAATGTTCTTTACCAAAAATGCATCCATGTCACCACGAGCAAAAACTTTATGCCATGGTTCCAACATCAATTTGGCAGACCGGTCTGATGGATGCCAATTAACTAATGCTTTACTGAGTTTGTGCCTGATAACTGGATATACAGTTGTTTCTAAACGACCACCTGAAAACAGAATAATAGCTTGAGAACAAAAAATAATTAAATGACCACATTAAAACAGACACACTGACACAATCAGTAATTAATAAAGGGTATTCCAGCTACAATAACATATTTCTGAAACTGACATAGCTACTTCCGCAAATACGCAAAACAAAGACTTCCACCACAAACACTTTAGATGTATTATACAGAGCTGACCAATATCTTTTGCAAAGGTGACTAAGTGCTGTGTCTGCAAAATTGATCGATTAGTGATTCTGGACGTTTCAAAGTCTAAGGCCATTAATTCCGTAAATATGGTGCATGTCTTTTAAGCATGCAATATCTCAACAAACTATTTTTGTAATGTTATTTATTTGGTACCCATTTTGAAATTTGGTAGATAGATACATTAATATAGATATGAGTATTTTTTTCGTTTAAGAAATGTCAGCCTAATATGATCTTTTCCATTTTTAAAATTAAAATAGAATTTAAATACTTAGAAAATACAAAACACTACAAAATGCTTGCAAAAAATATATTTACATCACATAAAAGTATGTGAAGTAAAGTATTTTCTAGATTTAATTCAAATTTAATTGTATTTTTTTAGGAAAAGGAAGATGCATGAAAAGTGTTTACACATTAGTATGCAGGATTCTTCCGAAAAATAATTGGTAATATTTCTGAAAGGAGTAGGAACAGTGAAAAATAGTGTGGTGTGTAGTGTAGAGTAGTGTGGTGTGTAGTGTAGAGTAGAGTAGTATGGTGTGTAGTGTAGTGTAGTGTAGTGTAGTGTGTGGTATGTATGTGTGAATATAAGTGAAGTTACATTATCGCTGCTTGTTCTTTCTAAAAGTTTGTTTGTGGCTAATGTGAAAAGAAACTGTTTCTTACACTTTCTAACATTTCTCTTACAATGCCTCACAGATTATATATATCTTTGGGAACTCCTTGTATCACATAGCATGAACTACTCTCAGTCATAATCGTGTATATATTCTGAATATGGTCTTCCTTATTGGTTTTATTTGTAATGGTCATATAATATTTCATACCATGAGCTTGGCATGAAATGTCTCCCTTTAAAAAGAAAACTAACAGCTTCCTCTGTACCAAGGTTTTTACATACTGATATATTCGATGGCCTTGTTTATTGTCGCAAGAGATTTATAGGAACAATTAGTATTGCTACAAACATGCTCATCAAGTTTTCTTCTGAAATTTCTCTGATTGATTTTCCCTTTTTTCTTGGCATGAATAGTAAGTTCCCAATAAACACACAAGTAAAATATTTCAACATTTCTGGAAGACGTACTTATTCACTTCATTACTTCATTCAAAATATTTATCTTTCTATAATAGACTATATACGTGGTTTTCAAACGTTTTGCTGCTGTGAGTCCCTTCAGGTAACAAATGCTGCACACACCTCTCTTTAAAATTAAATTGTTAATAAAAAATAAATATTTTCCCCCCGAAAGTAAGGCCACCACGTACACTTTGTTATTATATACTTACAGTGTACAAAATAATTAATGCAAGTTATTTGCTCAATACACTCTTGTAATTAATGATTTTAATAATGTTTCACAAAGTATGGAAAACTACAAAAAACAAACATATTGATAGTTCAGAAAAGTCAGCGAGATAGATGGGCTTGTTTGGTGTTACATAGTTCATTGAATCTTGGCACTAATTTAAAAATCACATCTCATTTTGGAGATTTATTCTCGATTTATATTTTTCTTGATCACTGCCATGGCTGAAAATCCTTTTTCACTTATATAAGAAGTGGAGAAGAACACGCACGGCCTTCTTACGTAACTCTGAATACTGATTCTTTACAGAGCACCAAAATTCAGATAGTATTGCAGGAATGAATCACGCTACAAAAAAGCGAGCTGTATTCTATTGCGTCAACTACCAGAGCTTTAAAATCACTGACAGTTGACAATGCTGGTTTTATAGAAGCAATGTGATCACATTTTATACAAACGTTTTCTCCCCATTCATAAAATTAATGAAGGCAAATATATAGTCCGACAGTAATTTAATTGAGTAGAGCATTATTAAGGATTTGAACGTTATTTAATTAAATTATAACAAAGTTCTCGTGCCTGTCTTCTGAAACATTTGCACCTCCCTGTGGAGGCACGTCTCACAGTATTAATAACATTGACCTATATCGTGAAATATACTTGTTTTCATACACAAACAGCAAGTGTTTTCATTCATGTTCACACACCAGGTTATTATAATTAACATTATCCAACTTAACAAACATTATTAGGAAAATGAGTTGTCTTGCATACAGGAAAAAAATAATATGTAAAAAACGTATATTTCATTTTGAAGGAGAGGCAGGTGTAGTTTAGAGCATTTGAAACTAATTGAAAAACTTTTATTTTTATACCCAGCTAGATACTAATGGAGAACCTATGATATCTGTGCCATAAGGTGGGTCAAAAGAAACAAAAAAGCAGCTATTATCGTAGAAAATTCTGCAACTAATTGTGAAGAGTTGACACCCAGAACACAAATGTAATTATCTCATTAGAAATCAGAAACACTATATTAAATAAAATAATTCTCTCTCTGATTTGTCTCTTAATTTTTTTCCTTCACAAAATTTAATAGGTGAATTACTATATAATTTTTATTGCAATTTATTGCAGCTTTGCTTACAAATAATTTTAATTACTCATTACTAATTCAGGTGGAGGACATTGAGAGGAAAAAAAAATGCTAGAAGTAAGAGACTGAATATCCCTGTTCTAAATCATGTTACCTAAAAGAGGTATCCATGGATGAATCCATGCATGTATAGGTACAGTGTCAGTCATTGGATTCCATTCTTCCACCTCATGTTGCATCCTGGGAAGCACCAATTGTTCACGAATGTTTTCAAGAATCCACAATGGTATCAAAGGAAGCCAATGTTCCAATAACTCAATCAGAGGTTCACATGCTCTACAATTCCAGTTACTGAAAAATACCCAATTTTGTTAGTAAGCACATTGGGAAGGAAGTATAATACATTATTTATAAATCAAGTATTATTTAGAATATTTGAGTATTACCCAAGTAAAAATGTTACAAAATCTTTATAGACAGCAAGTTTTCTGTACTAAAGTCTTCAATTTTTTTCTAATAGTTTGAAATCTTCCGATTCACTAACCCAGATCACAACAATATCAGATTTCCAATATTTTGATACTGTTGTGGTTCATGATGAAATCGAAATGAATACATCAAAGAAACCATTGTGTCTCATGGTTAAGACACCGATGAAAAGAGGTTGGACTGAAGCTTTGCACACACCATGCATCATGTCTAAGTATTATGACAATTCTTTGTGATCCACTTACCCATTCAAGTCTTACAATAAGGCAGATAAGTGACATGTACCCTTGTCCCTTTACTAGCTATAAATGAGTCAGCTGGTGATACAGTGGCTGGACCTCACAAAGCTGAAGCACATGTCCATGGCTAACACAAATTGGCTAAAATTGATTCATGGCTAAAACACGCCCTAAAGAGTATGGCATTACTAAGGGTAACCCATCAAAGTGACAAGATGAAATTAAACTCCCTATTAATAATTAATTATAATGAATAGTACAATGCAATTTCATTTTTTAAATGGTAAATTTTAGTTTATATAATTTCAAAATTTTATTGTCAATAATAAGTTTTCAAACTGAGTTTCAGGAGTCCTCCAGGGGCCCTGTGATTTTAGGGAGACTGAATAGGCCACTAGAAGAAATTTTGTGGTAAAGCAATTATTGCCACTGGTTGCCATGTCCCATGGAGAAATCCGATTTGGTTCTTCTGATATTTGATATAGTTGTTTAAGCACACTGCGTTCTAGAAACCCCAGACAAAGTGTACTGAAAATTATTATCACAGCGTTCAAAGAAATCTTTCAAATTTTGTTAAGAGTCAAGCGTTTGTGTTATATAATTCTGTATCTATCTTTCTGTGGTATCTATTATATCTATATCTCAGATCTCCAATTGTTTAGTGCCTAGAATATTTTACTGAAACTAACCTAGATGCTTACAGTAGTTTATTTAAAAGGGCACAAACCACAATCAAAAATTATAAAAAGACAGCCCTGCAATAATTCTTGTAATATTATTATTTTTTGTCCCAAGCCACTATACTGTACCAGTACAACCAGCCATGGATTTGATATTACGAAGGGGGGGCCTTTGTCGGCGCCGCGCCGTCCTCGCCGAGCACTTAGGACGGGTGGTCTTTCTCCACGCGACCGCGCGACAAGTGGGCCGCCGCAATCGCACCCACTTGAAGGAAATGTTTACGACCTAACGAATATTGACGCGCACGTGCAACTCCGGCGATCTAGGGCATAAAGACATTCTCGCCGACCGCGAAGAGATTACGCCCACAGCGCTAAACGACAAAATTCAACGGAACATTTTGGTATGTTGCGTGGATCGTCGAGTCATTGGTCGAAGCTCCGCCTCGCCACGCTCCGCGAAAATTTTAATTTCGGTCAATCAGGAGGAGGCTCGCTGAAGAAGGAGGGGGGGGGGATACCAGAGCTTTCATGATGAAGGGAGAGAAGTTCCAAAAGCATTCACTTTCGAGATTTCGCGCAAAAAGGTGCAGCTAAAGAACATTCAATCTTGAAAATGCCGAACAGTAACATTGGAGAAACGTAGTTACGGGCACTTAGAAATTATTCTCGCTGACCGTGAGCTGCACTGGCACGTCAATGCCAGTCATCGGTGCGCAGTTGCACTCAATTACGTGCTATGGGTCGGCTTAGCTGGCGCTACGGTAGTGGGCCGTCCGCGATCGCTCGGTTCGGGAATTAGATGAATTCCAATCAATCATCGCCGACGCGAATCGTGGGTGCCTGACGGTCGGGGCTTCCATTCCTGGCTCCGGCCCTAGCAGCGGAGACGAGCTTGGCAACGCTGGAGCGCGGCCGTGGTCTTGGTCTTGGCTGCAGCTGTCCGGGGCGACCCGCCCTACCCGTCGGTCAACAACACCACCAGCCGGTATGTTCTACTGCCGGAACAACAATGGTAATCACCAGCTTTACTCCCGCTAAAATGCGGTAGGACAATAATTGAATCTGAGTGAGAGATGCCATCAGCATCGCCATTTACGGCGGCCTAACCAGTTTTATTTTACTTTGTATGGAGTCAAACATCAAAATTAAAAGAAAAGGTAGCATGTTTCAACGTTGTAAGAAATTTCATGTAATATCATCTATCATCCATGCCCATCACTTTAGACATTAAATAAGTTTGTTTGTTAAATTTAATATGAGTATTTTATTGAAAACCACATCCCGCTTCCAATCCTGGTAAGGATACAATACAAAATCACTAAGCTGTAAATTCAGGTAGTTGCTAGAAGAGGGCCAAAAGGCCGTGCAGAAATAGTTTCTAACTACTTTAATCCACATCCAAGAAAATTTTCATGATTTTACCTCTCCTCGTTAGGTTGGTAGAGCAATTCCCTCCCCCTAATTTGTTTCGTCTGTATCGGAACGCGTCTCCGAACTCCGTAAGGAGCGTTTAGCGCACTGGAGTAATCCTCCTCTATAAGCGCCGTCTAGGGGCCGCTGCATTTTCTAGTCACGTCAGGGAATTGCCGACAGGAAGTCTTCGCGCTCGCGTCTCGCACGCGCCCTGCGTCATCTACCTCTCGGCCAGAATTGGGAAATTATAAGGATAAGGGTAAGGTATAGGACGCTTCACCAGGGGTTGGACTAGTCCTTGTGAAGCACGCCAACTCGTTTTGTCGTAACAAATTTCACATGAGGTTCTACGGGGACACTATGAGAATCGAACCCGGAACCTGCAGTGAAAGGCAAGCGGCTTTCAGGCCACTGAGCAACGAGAGCGTTTATGCGAGCGAATATTAAAACAACCAGCATTTACCGTTCGTGGCTGTTTTATTTAACAGTGAATAACAGTATTATTTTATTTTATATTCATTATGTGTAGTTGTCAAATTATTAGATTTAAATTATTCTGGAACTGATGTGGCGACGAAAAAAATAATTAGAAAAGATAACAGGAAAGATGATGAGGATGCTTAAGGTTTAAGGACGCTTCTTTCACGCCCGAGTCATTTTTTTAGCATTTAGTCATTTGCTAGCAATACACGTACTGCAATAGCTTTTAAGAGCAATACGCACTGTCGTAGTGCCAGACAAAAACATTTTTTTTCAGTTAAAACGTAAGTAAAACTGTTGAATTATTTAAATGGGTTGGCTGAAAAGAGCCAGATAAACACTTTAAAATCTCACATCATAAGCCAAATAATTGGCATAATCCTCTTCTCTCAGATAATGCTGTAAATGTCAGACTCTCGTAAGAAGCTAAAAAGCTTGCAGAGAGAAGATTAGTCATTTCCAAGAACCTGTGGTAAGAGAGCTAGCAAGGTTAAGCATTCGCCAGCGATCTTTTACCATACAACAGTGTAGGAGAACATGCTCCACGATAAGATCCGTATCGCAAGTAGAGGGTGGGTCACTGCGGAGATGCCCGTAGGAGGAATGACAGTGACCAATCTGAAGGCGTGTCAGAATTATCTGCTCGCGTCTCGACCCACGAGATGAAGAGGACCAAGGCTTTACGGAATCCTTGATTCTCATAAGTTTAAAGTCTGAGTTATGCCACTCTGTTTGCCATGTGCTAAGAATACGATTGCTAAACAGCTTGGTATCGTTTGTTGGACTGTGAGGATGTCTACCTCCGTTTTCTTTGTTGCGAGCTTTGCTGCCTGGTCAGCAATTTCGTTCCCTATTATCCCAAAGTGATCGGAGATCCCACAAAGAAACAATTTATAACGACGAACAAGTAAATAATGGATTGGGTGTTGGATGATTGTCAGAAGGTCACAAGGAGAGAAGCAGGAGCTAAATTCGAGCGAGCGTTTTGAATCACTGCAGATCACAGTTTCTTTTAATGTCATCGATTCAGCGAACTGAAGTGCCTTCAAGAGCGTATATTTTTCTGCAGTGTAAGCGCTGCACGAAGAGTCTAGTCGAAGACTCCGCATGGCATTGTGGCAGTAGAAGGCACACGCTACATTACCATTCTGGGAGGAACCATCAGTGTATATGAAGTTATAGTTGGGATATATGGATTTCGTCTTCTGGAATTCTGCCAGAAATGTACTGGGAGGATTTGAGGATTTCGGTCAGTGCAATCTCAGGTCTATTTTAGGCTGGAGAAGATACCAAGGCAACAAGTCTTTGGGGGGGAGGTTCACAAGGATTGGGAGTTTTATATCGAGTTCTGCAAGATCGTGTAGAGACGGATACCCGAAGGATGGGGTAACGTTGGTCTGAGTTCGTACGATGTCCTGTGACTTCGGTGAAGTGCTTGGTGCGAAGGAGTATTTATAGCTGATACTTTTGCACCATAGGAGCCGATTACAACGGGTGGTATGAATAAAAGTAAGCAAGTACTCTTTGCTCCGAATTTCCGAGATTCTACTCAGTTTCGTATGAATAAAGTGGGTAAGCAATTGCTCAGTCTCTGAGCACTTGCTCCAACTCTGAGCGTACTCTCAACTGGCGAGCAAATGCTCAGAATTGGTACTAATAAAGTTAGGCGTTTACTCTCTAGAGTGAGCACTTGCTCCAAAATTTCGGAGGGACCTTAGTAGCAGACTCACGTTTGAAAAGTAAGGTTAAATTGGCCGATTTTTTACCGTGTGTTGATATGCATATGCAGCGGACTAAAAAATTCAAGATTAGGCGAAATTCTCGTAATGTAGACTATTAGAATCTTTGCCGATTCGAAAAGTACAATGTATGGTTGGTACGATTTTTATCAGCGTTTCCTTTCAGGCGCGTTTTCATATTGCATATCTTCTATGTTAATTGGCCATCGCTCTTTTCTACTTGGAATTTTTCGGGGTACTGTTTTTTGAAACTTTGTAATGTTTCGTTTCGGCCACAGCGTACTTCCGAAAGCTGGCTCTTTTCAAAA